AATGGTATAGAACAATACATACAATCAGTCCATGACATCCACAGACTTCTAACCAAAGATTGAAAACAGTAGAGGTATTAATGGGGGGAAATCTGCATATAAATTGGACCCCCACAGTTCAAACCTGTGTTATTCAAGGACACCGATTTTTTTCCCCAAATACCACTATGAAGCAGCTGCACTAATAACTAAATTTTAGACAACTAGTCTTAATAAATCCAGAACTTCTGGGGTTGTTTTAATAAAGCATTCCCTATGAGAGTAGATAAGAAACAAAGACAAGATCACCGTGGCTCTCACCTATGTGTCTGTTTCCTACCTGGCTATGGAAAGGTGGTAGTTACTGGAGGAGACTAGGAAAACAGTCTAAAACATTGCTTTATAAAATCTTTATGGAAGCTTTCTGACAATACCTGGAATTCTGCCAGACTTCCACGGCTTTGGGAATGAAACATGTTCAACAAAATCTAAGGTCCCGCCCTGGCTGGTTTGGCTCAGCAGTTAGAGCGTTGGCCTGCGGTCCAGAGAGACCTGGGTTTGGTTCCCGCTAAGGGCATGTACCTCAGTTGCAGTTTGTCCGCAGCCCTGGTTGGGTCGTGTGGGTGGCAACCACTCGATGTGTCCCTTTTACGTTGATCTTTCTCTCTCTCTCTCTCTCTCTCTCTCTCTCTCTCTCTCTCTCTCCCTCTCTCTCTCTCTCTCCCCCCCCCCCATTCTATCTGAACAAAATATTGAAAAATGTCCTTGGGTAAGGATAAAAAAAAAAAAAAACTAAGGTCCCTCTGACCAGGTGGTCTCTATGTTTGCAGTGCACAACTCTGGCTCTGTCTGGAAGGTCATGCACCTCGTAAGCGGTCACACCTTTTTTTCTTGAGAAGAATTGCTGGTGTCTTTACTGATAAACTCTCTCCACTTAGATTTCCAAACACCAGCTCTCCTACTTTCCTGCCCAGTCTTCTGTAGTCTCCTCCTCATGCAGAGTACCCCAGTGCTTGTCCATGGCCCTTCATATTCACGCTTGCTCCTTTGGTGATCTTGTCCAGCTTCCTGGCCTCAGATATTGCTTGTGTGTCTATGATCCTCCAATTTTTTTGTTATTGATGATGATGATTCTATTAGAGTTGTCCCCCATCTTTTCCCCCATTGCCTCACTGCACCCTTCCTCGGTCCCTCCTAGGCCTTCGCTGCATTAGTGTCTGTCTCCATGGGTTATATGTACATGCGTATATATTCTTTGGTTGATCTCTTCCCGTTCTCCCCACACTCCTCCCTTCTGAGATCTGTCAGTCTGTTCCATTTATGTGCCATGACCCTCCAATTTTTACCTTCAATACAGACCATATCACAAACTGCAGATTCCACTGGGATATCAAACAAACATCTCCATATTTTTTATTGTGGTGAAATATACATGACCTAAAATACACCATTGTAACTGTTTTTAAGTATGCAGTTCTGTGGCATTAAGTACATTTACATTGTTGTATAACCATCACCACCATTCATCTCCAGATATCTTTCATCTTCCCCAAAGAAAAATCTGTACCCATTAAGCACTAACTCCTCACCCCCCCCCATCCCCTTGTAACCTATATTAACCTTTCTGTCTAGTGAATTTGACTGCTGTTGTTATCTAACATAAGTGGGAACCTTATATTTATCAATTTGGAATATCTTAATTTGGATATTTCAAAACCTGAACTTCTAATGTTCCCTTTCCTTCCAAATTTGCCCCACTCACAGCCTCCCCGTCTCAGTGGAGGCACTTCCGTTCTTCCAGTTGTTCAGGCCCAAACTCTGGAGACATTAGTGGCTTCTCTCTTTCTCTTACACTCATATCCTGACTAACAACAAATCCTCTTGCCTCTACCTTTAAAATATGGTCCAACTGACCATTTCTTACGCTGCTATCCCCAACCTGGTCCTAACTACCTATGTCACACCTGGATAGCATAAGTCAGCTTCAAGCAGGCTACCTCACACCCTACAATCCATGCTTAACCCAAAAGCCATAATGATTTTTTAAAATCCTAAGTCAGATCATGTCCCGTGTCTGCTCAAACCCCTGCAATGACTCCCCAGTCACTCATAGTAAATGAAAGCAAAAGTCCTTCAGTGGCAGAGAAAGCCTCGCATGACCATCCCTGATACCTGTCCTCCTTTTTTTTAATTTACCATTAGCATTATTGGTTTTTTATTTATTTTTTAAATATGTTTTTATTGATTTTTTAGAGAGGAACAGAGAGAAAGAAACATAGATGTGAGAGAGAAACAGTAATTGACTGCCTCCCACATGCCCCCTACTGGGGATCAAGCCCACAATCCAGTCATGTGCCCTGACTGGGAATCGAACCACAATGTCTCAGTCCATGGGACAACACTCTATCCACTGAGCCACAATGGCCAGGCTCCTGTCCTCTTAGCTGCTGTGCTCCCTCTCACTGGCTCTGCTCCAGCCACACTGCCCTCAGGAAACCTCCCACCTCAGGGTCTTTGTATTAATGTCACCCTTGCCTGGGGCACTGTTTCCCCAGATATGCACTCACCTAAATCATTCACCATCTTCACAATGTAACTTTCTCAATGAGATTTATGAAGACCACCATTTTTAATATGACGACCTGCTCGCTCCCATGCCCGTGATTCTCTTAATCCTGTGGTAGTTGACCCCAAAATAATGACTGACACATAGTAAATAATCAGTAAAAATAGGTTTGATGTATTGAATAAACAAATGTGGTTCTGAAGAGGATGCCTGTAACACTGTCTCCTGATCACAGATGATTGGCCAACATGGAAAGAAGACATGCCTGTGCCAGTCAGAATCTTTTTTCTAAGTTTTTTTTTTTTTTTTTTTTTACATAGAGGAGCTTACATAAATCTAGCTTCTATTAAGCAGTGAAGTTATCAGACATGACTAGTGAGATCAGCTGTTTCCCATGTCTCTTTTTATGTAGAGGTAACCAGTCTGAGAATATAAAGCTGATCATCTGAGAGGAAATCCTCACAGTGTTTGAGCCCTATGTTCAGTTGTGCCAGTGGACAGCTGAGCCAAGGACTCATGTGTAAGTACTTTATAGGAAGGAGCAAGGAATATGGCACATGGGTTAGACAGACAAGATGTGATACAGGGAAGAAAATACATCCAATAAAATTTACCTTATGTCAGTTCCCACAACAAGTAAGCTGAGTTTTCATCCTGTAGGGAAATTCTAGAAAGTGACACAAGATCCAGACTTCAGAATTATCCCAGCTAAGGTGTGAAGGATAATGGGGTAGCCCACATCTCTTCATCAAGAGCTGTCCCTGATGGAGCACAATTCCCTGTCACTTCTGCCATCATGCACTCAGAAAAGCAGGCTCCACCTGGGGCTGACCATGGCCGTCAGTCTGGTATGCAATGCAGATACTGAAAGGATCTCAGAAAACATAGGAGAAATGCTGACAAATTTTACTACTCCACCCTTCACTACAAACTTAATTCTATTAGCATTCTTCTCAAAAAGTGAACTAAGTTCTGAATACGTTCCACAACATGTAACTACCATGCCTCCAGAGAGTACCTTCCCCCAAAGATAAACCACTTAACACAACAAGTTTTACTCTATTGTATTCATTAGTACATGTCTTAGGATCTTGGAGTGTATCTTAAAACCACAATGGTGGGGAAAAAGATCCAAGAAAACAAGGAGAGGGAAGAGGAAAGGAAGAAAGGAAGGAAGAAAAAGACAAAGACTGGAGCAATATCTAAGAGTTATCCTGTGCAGAGTAATAAAATTAATCACCTGAACAAACTAGCTTTCAAATTTAGATTCCTATTCTTGAAGTTAAAAATCACATCACTGTTTATGGGAAAGGTGTGATAGCTCAGGTGTGTTGGCTCAGTGTCAGGTTAGAGTCCATCCCAACTCCAATCTCTTTCTCTGAAAAGTGGGGTAAATAAGATGAAATTGCTCAAAGAAATGTCATGACCACATAAAGTCATACATGTAAGGCTTCAATTTTCAACCTTTTCCATCTCACGGCACATAATTACTAAAATTTGATGGCACAACAAAAAATATTTTTTGCCGATCTGACCAAAAAAATAGGTATAATTTTGATTCATTTATGCTGGACAGCTATTGCGTTGGCTGTTGTCACTTTTTTATTTGACAGTCTAAGGGAAGAGAGGTCAGTGCCCCTGACTAAGCAGTGGGATATTGCATGTTTTAAAAATTCTTGCAGCACACCAGTTGAAAATTGCAGGTGTAAAGCAAAGAGCACAGTCCTGCAAAGTAAAGCAAAGTAAGCACTTTTTATGACTACTGTGTGATTTTTATTCCATTTCTCCAAGATAAAAACAAACACACAACCAAATTAAGGTGAAGAAAATCAACATTTGAGAGAATAATTGGCGGGGGAGGGGGACCATGTCAGCACTTCCTGTAAGTGCTTCAAATATAATGTTGGAAATCTCAGGAATGGTGATAAGAAAAAATAAACTTCATGGGCTGCAAACAGAAGAAAAATACAAAAGGAGATTATTGAGGAGGAACTAATACAAAAACAAAGTAAACAAAATAGAAACAAACTCATAGATACAGAGAACAGATTGATGGTTGCCAGAGGAGAGGGGGATGAGGGACTGAGTAAAAATGGTGAAGGCATTGAGAAGTACAAATTGGTAATTATAAAACAGTCATGGGGGTGTCAAGTACAACACAGAGAATATAGTCAATAACATGGTGCTGGGTTGGTACTGGAAATAGCAGAAGAAATACTTTGTAAAGTACATGATTGTCTAACCACTGTGCTATACACCTGAAACTAATACAAAATAATATTGAATGTAAACTGTGATTGAAAAATAAAATAAAAACAAAGTCTTGGGTGCTTTAAGAATAGAAGAAATGAAGCATGTGTTTCAAGAAAGAAAGAGAAAAAAAAAACAGATTTAAATCCACAACATAGGCCTTTGGGGATTTCAATGTCCACTTAGTTCTGAGATGAATGACCCATCACAGACAAGGGGCTCCTTGCCTAAGGAGCCTTCCCAAGGTCCCCTTGACATCCTTGTTCCTCAGGCTGTAGATGAAGGGGTTTAGCATGGGGGTGACCACTGTGTACATTACTGAGGCAACTGAGTTGTGTAGGGAAGAATGGGTCACAGCAGAACTAAGGTAGACACCCAGGCTTGTCCCATAGTACAAGGAGACCACGCAGAGGTGAGACCCACAGGTGGAAAATGCTTTATATTTTCCCACTGCAGAGGACATTCTCATTAAAGAGGAGACAATCTGAGAGTAAGAAAAGAGAATTCCAGCAAAAGGAAACACACCCAGTAGGGCAGTTGCCACATACAAGAAGATGATATTGATGAGAGTGTCAGAGCAGGCCACCTTGAGCATCTGAGCTAGTTCACAGAAGAAATGTGGAATTTCAGTGCCTGTACAGAAGGTCAGCTGCCTCATCAATAAAATATGAAGCAAGGAGACCCAGAAAAGGAGAAGCAAAGACATCAGAACCAGAAAGCCACAGAACCGTGGGTTCATGATGACTGTGTAGTACAGAGGACGGCAGATGGCCACATAGCGGTCATAGGCCATCACAGTCAGGAGGAAATTGTCCATTCCAGCAAAAATCATAAAAAAATACACCTGAATGAAGCACTGGGCGTAGGAGATGGCTTTGCTCTGAGCCTGGATATTCACCAGCATCTTTGGGATGATGGTGGAGGTGAAACAGATGTCAACAAAGGACAGATTGGCAAGAAAGAAATACATGGGGGTGTGCAGGTGGGAGTCAGAGCTGATGGCCAGAATGATGAGTAGGTTTCCAAGTATAGTGACCAGGTACATGAACAGTAACATTCCAAAGAAGAAGGGCTGTAGTTCAGGATCCTCTGAGAGACCCCGGAGGAAAAATTCTGATACTTTAGTGTGGTTTTCTACTTCCATGTAGCTGGTGTGTCTGCTGGAGAAAAATGCAAAAGCAGTGTTTAGTGAACTGCCAACTGGCACATCAGCTAGTTGTCACCTTTAGATTTTACCTTTGCAAGGACATTCTTCTCCCTCAATTAGTTCTTCCAATGACAGTGATTCACTCAGACGAATGGTAGCCATTTTCATTTTAAATGTAATTATTTAGCCTGTTTTAAATTATCAATAACCTTTTTTTAAACAAACTTTATTTTTTTATTGTTTTAAACTTATCTTTATTGTTGAATGTATTACAGATGTCCCCCCCTTTTCCCCTCATTGATCCCACTCCTCCCCACTCCTGCTTTCCCCACACTATTGTCTGTGTCCATTGGTTATGCATATATGCATATAAGTTCTTTGGTTTATTTCTTCCCATTCCCCACCCTTCCCTTTAAGGTTCATCAGTGTAACAAACAATTTGCACTTCTTCATACCTTCACCTTTTCTGCCCACCCTCCCAATCCCCCTCCCATCTGGCAACCAACAAAAAGTTCTCTTTATTGCCCTGGCCAGTTTGGTTCAGTGGTTAGAGCGTCATCCTGCAGACCAGAGAGTCCCAGGTTCAGTTCCCACTATGGACATGTACCTCAATTGTGGTTCATTCCCGCCCTGGTTGGGGTTGTGCAGGTAGCAACCAGTCGATGTGTCTCTCTCACATGAATGTTTCCCTCTCTCTTCCTCCCTCTCTCCCTTCTGCTCTACCTGAAAATGTCCTCGGGTCAGGATTTTAAAAAGTTCTCTGTATCTATGGGTCTGTTTCTGTTTTGCAGGTTCATTTTGTTTGTAGATTCAGTCATTGATATATATGTATTTATTACCATTTTATGTTCATATTTTTTATCTTCTTCAAGAATACACTTCAACATTTTATATAATACTGGTTTGGTGGTGATGCTCTCCTTTAGTTTTTTCATGTTGGGAAACTCTTTATATGTCCATGGATTCTAAATGATAGCTTTGCAAAATAGAGTAATTTTGGTTGTAGGTCCTTGCTTTTCATCACTTTGCATATTTCTTACCACTCCCTCTGGCCTGCAAAGTTTCTTTTGAGAAATCAGCCAACAGTCTTATGGGAGCTTGTAGGTAACTAACTGCTTTTCTCTTGCTACTTTTAAGATTCTCTCTTTGTCTTTAGCCTTTTGCATTTTATGATGTGTCTTGGTGTGGGCCTCTTTGGGTCATCTTGTTTAGGACTCTGCACTTCCTACACTTGTATGTCTGTTTCCTTTACCAAGTTAGGGAAGTTGTCTGTCATTATTTTTTCAAATAGTTTTTCAATTTTTTGCTCTCTTCTCCTTCTGGCACCCCCATGACGCCAATATTGGTATGCTTGAAGTTGTCCCAGAAGCTTCTTACATGATCCTCATTTTTTTTTATTCTTTTTTCTTTTTGCTGTTCTGATTGGATTTGTTTCTTGGCTTCACATACTCTATTGATTCCCTGTAAATTATTCTTTATTTCAGTTAGTGCATCCTTCATTTCTGACTGGTTCTTTATTATGCTCTTGAGGTCCTCACTAAGCTTCTTGAGCATCTTCATAACCAATGTCTTAAACTCTGCATCTGTTAGATTGCTTATCTCCATTTCATTTAGTTCTCCTGGAGTTTTGTTCTGTTCTTTCATTTGGGACATGTTTCTTTGTCTCCTCATTTTGGCTGCCTCTCTGTTTGTTTCTATATATTAGGTAGAGTTACTATGTCTCCTAGGCTTCATAGGGTGACCTATTGTTGTAGGTATCCTATAGGGTCCAGTGGCACAGCCTCCCTGATCATCCCTTCTGGGCCCTCTAGGTGTACCCCTAGTGTGGACTGTACACCCTTCTGTTATTATTGAGTCTTGATTGCTGTTGACATGTCAATGGGAGGGATTTACTCAGGCTGATTGGCTGCAAGGACTGGCTGTGCCCAGTGACCACTGACCTCTAACTACCTTGGATGATCAGTTGTGCAGGGGCCCACCACACAGAGAAAGACTTATTTCAGCAAGGCTCTGACACCCAATGAGTTCACTCCTTGAGTGTGTCACTTTTGGAGGTGGTTGGGTGGTGGTGCTTTGAAGTGGTCTGAAGCTGTCCACTGGGTGTGCTGGCTCTGGGGCCGGGTCAGCCACTGCCTATGTTCTACCCAGGGCAACCAGGCATAAGCTACAAAGTGATCTACAGATGGCTGCTTCTTGTGCTGGGCTTGGAGGTGCCCAGGCAAAGCCAAGCTGTGAACCAAGGCTGACCGCTTCTAGTGCTGGGCCTGCAGCCACTTAGCAAGAGGTATGAGGCTCACTGAGGCCAGATGCTGCTTGTTTGAAAGAATTTAGAAAAATCTGAAGCAGAAGCCAAGACAGGCCAATTCTATGGTAAAGCCACAGAAAGAGCTTGGGTGGGCCTGAAAGTTGGGTGGGGCGGGGCCTCAGGAAATCACCAGGGCAGAGCAAACAGTGTGAACCAGGTTGCTGGAGTCCCAGATATGGCACCCGTCTGCCAGTCCTGTGGGGGAAGGGCTCACCAAAGGAACAATGGCCTCTGCCAGTACATCTGTCTGAGAGAAAGCTGCCTCTCCAGTTTCTTCCCTGATGCCAAACAACTCAGTTCTTTCCTGTGTGTCTCTGGTGCCCTTCAAGCTTCCTCCCCCATGCTGGAGCCTAGAGGGTACAAGTCCAAATAAGTCCGTGAGCGGGCCCTTTAAGAGGTGCTGCTTGGGGCTCCAGAATCCTCAGCCTCCCTCGGCCTCAATTTCTGCTGGTTTTTACAGCCAGAAGGTATTGGGACTTCTCTTCCTGGCACTGAACCCTGAGCTGGGAGCCTGGTGTGGGACGGGGACCCCTCATTCAAAGAGGACCTTCCTAGCCAAGGTGTCCTTCCTCATTTTTACCCACCACATATGGGTGTGGGACCAGCCCATCTGCATCTCTGCCCCTCCTTCCAGTCTCAATGTGGCTTCTACTTCAATTTTGTAGTTCTAGGACTTCCATTCAGCTCGAATTTCAGGGGCTTCTGAATGATGGTTGTTCTGTAGTTTAGTTGTAATTTTGATGTGGTTGTGGGAGGAGGCAAGTACATTTAAATAGCTCTATAGCAGACATTAATTCCTGGATTCTCTACTCAAACAACCTTAATTCTATGAACTAATGTTTTCCATTGATGTGACAGTTAACTCTCAAGTGCCTTATTTTATTTCTAAAAATGTTGTTACTGATATTGTCTTCTATGTATTAAAAAAAGCCTTTGTGCACAGTATGATCTCAGTAAATTATAGCTATTATTAATGATAACCTATTCCTTTTATTACAACAATCTTTGATATATAACTCTCCCAAAGTGCAGTGCAGAGATGTGATTCAGAAAATGGGATCTTGAGTGAAACTTCCTAGAACAGAATTTTGGTCCACCAACTTCCTATGTGTGTAACCTTGACAAAGTTCTTTAATCTCTCTTAGCTGCATATAACCTCCTCTCTAAAATGAGAGTCATAAATATTTTCTACATTATAAGACTAATGAGTGATTTAAATGAGATGATGCATGTTATTTTGTAGTGTGGTTCTTGTGATATACTATGGACACCTGATAAATGTGAACTTCTGTTCCTAATGTCACAACAAATCTATCTTTCATGGCCATCACTGATCTATAATCCCCTTAAACTGGGTCAGCCAACAAAGATGGAAGTCTGATCATTAGAAAAACAACAAATCTGTTACCTCTTTTGTCACCATGCAGCACTTCTAATTAGTGACAATCCTTGTGGCTTCTCTTTCAGATGCTGCCTGCCAGATGTATTCTTCCAAGGATAGGGGGAGGCAGGAGGACTGCATAGATAAGGAGGGTAAACAGAAATCACAAAACCACTAAAATAAAATACAAAGCAAGTGTGTGAGTATATACATGCTCTTGAGTAAACACATGTTGCTTTAAAAATCAGCAGTTAATTGTAAGAAAAAAAAAGTATTGATAGCTTTGATTAAAAATATTCAAAGCTTCTATAAATCAAAGCATCCCTAAAAGATTAAATGGCAAATTTAAGATGCAAATAAATGTTTACATTCACCATGACAGAAAAAGAAAAAAGAAAAAAAGATGGGCATTATAAATACCTAGAGAAAGCAGTTAATTACAAAGAGAAAGAAATCACTGAGGACCATTTAGTCTGGGGAGGTGGGTAGACAAGGCTTCTCTGATGTAAATATTTGAACTGTGAGAAGAAGGATGGGTAATTGTTAATCAGAGAAAATAAGGAAAGGGCTCCTTTGGGGCTGAGAGGACAGAATCCATTTTTGCCCTGTGGGTCAATAAGGTTGGGAATGAAAGATTTGCAGGGCTACTGAGATGGAGAACAGAGGGTGAGGGTCAGGGGGACAGAGTGTGTGAGGCCCATTTCTCAAGCATCCTGAAGTATTCCTTGAGGTGCCTCTCATGCTGGCAATTTTATGTTTATTTGTGGATCTGATGTCATGACAGGTTTGCTCACCATTGCCTTCCAGGGACTTGCATAGTGCCTGGCATAGGTGCTCAACACATACAAATGTTAGATACATAATAAAGATTGAGACCAAAACATCAATTATAACACAAAAAAAGTGATCTTCAAAGGACATCACATGCCTGCATATGCACACAAAATAGCAAAGTTGACTAGAATGCATTCGTATCTATTTTAAAAGAATAATATATCATGAATAAGTAGTACCCACTCTAGGTATGAAAAGTTGGTTTAGCACTAAAATGTTTGCTAACATAACTCACCAAAAAGAGGGGGTTCTTAACCATAATCACGATAGACAATGTATTTGGGAAAACGTAGCAGCCATTACTGTGCTTAACAACCAGGACAGAGCCTCTCACTAAGTGAGGAAACTGAGGACAATTTCTTAACCCAGTAAAGCAGTTGTTTTAAAGCTGCAGCAAACAGTATATTCTACACTAAATAGTTGAGTTAAATTCATGAAAAGGCCAAGGCAGTCTGCTCCAGCATCAGTTATTCCTGAATC